GCGCCATCTTGTGGCTGTGGGTGCCGCCATCTTTGAGGGCGGGGCAGCAATTAGCATATCTCTCTTTATTAGATAGGATATTTAGACAAGGCATTCACACAGAGGGCTATTGTTGTGTTGGATGTTGACACTTTTTTATTTGACAATCTCAGGGAAAAGAGGTCAGTGCCCCTGACTCAACTGTCAGGTATTGGTTTGACTCAGCCCATAGACCGTCAGCCTGCAGACTGAAGGGTCCTGGGTTCGACTGCAGTCAAGAGCACATACCTCGGTTGCAGGCTCCTCCCCAGCCTGGGCCCTGGTTAGGGCGCATACAGGAGGCAACCTATCTATATGTTTCTCTCACATTGATATTTCTGTCTTTTCCTCTCTCTAAATATCAATGGAAAAATATCCCCAGGTGAGCATTAAAAAGAAAATGCTGCAACACACAGGCTGAAAATGGCTGGTCAAGAAGCATAGTTGACTGAGAGAGGCATTTAGGCAAAGCACCGACCGCCTGGAGCCCTGCAAGCCCTCCGCATTGGCCAGTCTGGCAAGTTTCAGGCAGGTAAGAGATGCTGGAGAGGTAAGCAACCTCCAAACTGTGGAGGAGTTTCTAGATTGTGCTGAGCGTGACTTTCATTGTGTAGGTAATGAGGAACTGAGAGGCCGGCCGACACTTGTAGAACATGAACGGGAAGGAAACCCAGGAGTCCTCATGGCAGCTGCTTCTACACCGTTGGCCCTCCCGCCTGCTGGCTGAGCTCTCCCACACTTGGGCCTGAGAGCAGGCGCTGCGCTTCTTCCTGTCTCTGAATCTGGAGATCTAGGCATGCGTTGCTCAAATACTTATGAAACCAATTAATGTCTAGCAATGCTGCCCAGGGAAAGCAGGGGAGGGACTAGAAGTTCAAAACCTGCAAAGGATTTCCCCCAAATTAGCCAGAAGTCTCTAGGAATCGCTGCTTCGTTTGGTTCATCCTGACTCTCCACAGCGTCCAGGTGGGAAAGGCCAGGTTCTGCACAGGTTCCTGTCATTCCGGTAGGAGGGGCTTGTCTCCCCGGTGCTGGTGGAAGTGGGGCCCTTAGGGTCCCACCGGAGAGGCACTCCCAGGGGCCCCCACGGAGGGTGTGATGTGGAGAAGCTTCATTTCTGTGGAATCACACCCCTGGGCTTCCCTTCGTCCAGTCATCCAAGTGCAGCGGGGGCGTCAGTGGAGCTGAAGTCAGAGCCAGGGTCCAGTTTCCGGTCCATATTCACAAAGTCCAGTTCAGCATCAGGCCGGGCAGTCCTTCAGGCCATGTGCGCGGGGTCCGAATGCAAGAGGACACGCCTGGAGCAGCAAGAGCCGAGAGCCAGGAGGAAGAGCAATGAGAGCCGCTTCTGTGTAGGCCGCTGAGCTCGCAGTGGCCACGCCCATTTGGGCCAACCGTGCCCAGGCCCAGGTTTAATGGGCAGACAAGTCCCCTCTCGACGCCCCACCTTGACTGGGCACGCGCCCCACTTCCCTGGCTGGGGCGTGAGGTGGCGGCTTCCCGGGGAAGCTGCCCAAATGCCTCCTGCAATGCCGGCCTCCCTGCTCCTTCCCTGTGACCCAGCACAACATATGCCATCAGGGGGTGACCCGCTCAGCACAGACCCTCACAGGCACAAGGAGGAGATGACGCCCCGGTGCGAGGCGGGCCGGGGGCCCGAGGCCCCGAGTGGGCTTCTCCCTCGCGCCTGGACCACAGGCGCGCTCCTCCTGTGCTGTCAGCTCCCCACCCCTGCGAGCAGGACCTCCGTGCAGCGGGCCCCCGCCTGTCTGGTCGCCAAAGGATTCCCCGAACCCAGGTAATTTGGGGGATGAAGCAGGAGGAGCAGCGCCTGCCGCCCGGTGACCTTAAATAGAAGGACTTCGATCTCTAAGAAGGCGGCCGAACAGCACTCTGCCGAGGCCGCCGCCTCACTGGCCCGCACCAAGGACCACCTTTCCCAAGTGACGCGGCTTGGGGGCTACCGGCCCGGAGCATTGTGGGCATTG